ATATTATTAATAATTACTATTTATAAAGATATTAATATTTACTTGTACGTACTTCCACTTTCTCCAATAACATTTCATTTTATGTCTTATAAAATCTTATACATCGTCACTATTTTTATAATATGAATAATTCAAACTGTATACCTATCTAACTGTATTATTTTGACACCTTCAAACGGGATCGTTAAATTAATTCTTAGACAATTTAAATGTACTTTTACTATTAAATTTAAATAAAAACTTGTTAATGAAATCAGGATAAAGTTTAAAAATAGAATGCACGAGGAGCGTTCTATAAAAAGTGAAAATTAGTATGTTGTTAGTACCTTTTATTAAATGTTATTTTAATATATCCCAGAAACGAGAGTCCATGATCTTACCGACAGGACGACTCGCCTTTTTCTTAAGGGTTGGAGACGAGGTTCTTTTCAAAGTCATAGATTGTAATTTTGTTTCTGAATGGTAATGGTGAAGCTACGTTTCCTCCATGATTATAAATCAAGACAAAAAACGAGCAGGGTTTTGTTGTCACAGTTTCAAAAATGTTTCTTTCCCGGAAACGTTCAGCCTTTTTGTGCATCGGTAAGCATTCTGGGGACCCAGCGCATGAATACTTTTTTCATCTATAAGTGTTCACGTAAAATGCTATACACACTATCAGTCGAAATCTTTGTTTCTTCAAAGTTAAGTATCCAGAATTATAAGACTTATCTGTCTCATCTTGTGAAAAACCTACTTATTTTTCAGCATATAAAGCCATGTTTTAGTGCAGGTTCTTTTTCAATCGATTAAGCCTTTTTAAGGTTAAATCAAGAAATAATTAAAAATGTTTGCTTAGGATTTGGTATCGTTGAAATAACTAAACCTGCTCAGTGTAGGAATAGCTATTTTGAATTAATAAATAAGCATTTCAGTTTTAATATATAGCTCATTTAATATCAGCTCCGCTTACATAGTTTATTTATATATGTATGATTTCTCGGCTCCCAAGAGTCGTAGTTTGACGTTAAATATATATAATCTCCCTTACCTACACATATAATAAAATTCTAAGCCGAATTTGTACATTAAATATTTTTTTGAAAATCTTATTGAAATAGACATATTTATACTAAAGCTGAATCTATAGTTTTTAGAATTTTTGTCTGTCTGTGACTGCATCACCAGAATACCACTGGATAGATTTTGATGAAATTTGGTATGATGATAACTGGTTATCCGGGTCGACATATATGATGCTTTTTACTGCGGGAAAATATCTCATCTCTGAGAATCTATACTAAAAGTTAAACGTGTTAAATATAAAATCATAAAAGGTTTTTTCAAACTAACTACTAGTTCCAAAGATAACCGCGGTCAGTCAGACAAAAAACAAGCAATCTCTTCGGCTTTATAATTTAAGTTTATATATATATACCTATAAATACAGAAGTGTGGGTTAAGATAACAATCTTGCTTCTCTAACAATCTTAGAACAACGTCGATGTAAACATGATGCAATGGTTTTTCCTTTATTTATTACAAAAAGTGTAACAAAATAGTCAATCGTGTTTGATTGGTTAATTGTTTTATCATTAGTATATTTAATGTTTAAAAAAGAAGTACGGTTACCTTTAATACCTATCGTCTAATGTAATTTTCGGCGAATACACACATTACTTCATAGTGTATCGCTAATTGAGCTGTCACAAAAAGAACTCCTGCCATCTCTTTAACGATATAGAACCTGTTTTCGTATACAAGACTTATTAGTCATCATACCTTTTATCGCTTTTTAATAGCCTAAATAATAGTAGATATTTATTTCTAAATTTTTCCATATTTAAAGTGTGACTTTAAACTATTATCAATGAATGAATTTAAAAGAAAGTCCTATGTATTTGTATGTATAATCTAGTATTATATGATCTGTGGTATAATACAGAATATTCAATAATGTATGTATTCAGCCCTTCTTAGCGTCCCACTGCTGAGCACGGGCCTCACTTCAATATGAGGGGGATCAGGCCATAGTCCACCACGCTGGCCAAGCGCGGGTTGGCAGACTTCACATGTCTTTCGAAGACATGTAGGTTTCCTCATGATGTTTTCCTTCACCGCAAGGCAAGTGGTAATCATGTTGAAAATGATTCGCACATGAAAATATCAGAGGTGCGAGACCTGGGATTTGAACCCGCTTCACTCGGTTGCCCAAGCGAGCGCGTCACCACTGGGCTACTACTGCCTTAATAATGTATAGTGTATAATAATATGAAAACATAAAGGCAATATTCAGCTTTGTACAGAATTTAATATGATAACAAATTAATATTTTTTGTTAAAAATTATACCTACCTAATATCTTGTGTATTTGTTTTGTAACAATATTTTTTCACAACATGGTTTATTCCGTTTTCTCTGAAACGACAAAAATTTGTAAAAACTCCTTGTGTGCCTAAATATATCTCAAAATATCATACCTTCTGAGATTATTATATGAACTCTACCTTTGCCTAGTGCAAAGTCATTCTGCTCTATACCACAGCAACGGTGTTAATCTTATTACGGGTTATACTATGATCAATGACATAGAATAATATATGTACCTAATATTCGCAAAGAATCTCATATGAAAAAGAAAAAAAATAACATAAAAAATGTTGCAAAAAAATACCACTTAAATGAAATAATGCGCGGAGTAATAACAAGGATACAACGTTATGCACTGCTGCGTGACACCTATTGTTAAGATTTAATTATTATTTTAAATGTGAACATAATCATAATATGTGATGCTAGAAAGTGTCTATATAATCTATTCGATTACTTTAAACAGAAAATAACATTATTGATAAGTAAGGAATAGCTAGATAGACCAGGTCTGCCCAACCCCCCGTGTTTACTTTATCGCCGCGGGGTGGCATTTCATTAGCATCCGGCAATCCAGCCGGGCGTGAAGCCAAAAAACACACATGGGTGGCGCATAGTGCGGCCCCTCTCGATGGCGGTGTACCATGCACTGATGATGGGTAGCTCATGGCACTTCTCTGATAGCAAAGTTTTTAAAATATCTGCATTTCGAATCACTTCAGAATTCAAAACATTTAAGTATTTAAACATCATAACATAGATACCTAATTAAATAGAAAGTGTTTATAAAGAAAACGATGTTCATTATGATAGTAAAATCTAGGTAACGGACACAGTTTATTCCTTAACAATTTTAACATATAGTAAAAATATCATAGTGTGTAAAGCATATTATTACCTAGTCTGTACAAGAGTTTCATGTTGATGGAAAAGCGTGGAATTAATATAAATTATAAATTGACTATATTAACTCATATGCGGGACAGCTATAATGTTGTATTTTAATATTTATATAGCTACTCATATTTTGAAAGAGCAACTGTTGAGTTTCTCGAAGGCTCTTCTTAGCAGAACTGCCTTCCGAGCGTATGGTAGCTCTGTAGCTCTTCACAGACACTGCCTATCTTTAAATTAAATTGACGATACAAAAGTAGTAAGTCTAATTGAATAAGGTTATTTTGCATCTCATATCTATTATGTATTACATTACAATATGTTACACATTTTGAATTGATTAACCTAGACCTTGAACTTGAGTTCTCATGTCACATACAAACGGCAAGATAAGTTGTACGTATGTAAGATCTTATCTAATAGCATATTTTAAAGTCAAGGGTTACAATGCTATGACAACAATATTTTGATTTAAAATATGAGGTTAAAAATATATGTATATTGATCCCACTAATATGACAAAGTTTGTGAGTTTTATGCGTTTTTGACTTCTTCAGAATGCACTATGTAATTGGTATCTAATTGCTATTAAAAAAGGTATGGAACTTCTTTTCTACTTAAATACCATGCGAGCGGAGTCGCAGTAAAAATAAGTTTATATATTATGTAATATAGGTACACTTATTAAACTTAATATTTTCACCATTCAGGAGGGATCTTTCTCCTTTTTTCTATGAATTTTTCGATAATATAATAAGAAGTTATATGTATGTATTCCATTTTATTTAACATGGAGCAATTAAATTTTAAAAAAGAACTTAAAAAAAATAATACTTTTCTACGTACGTTTTTATACGATGACAGATCCCTTCAGTTAATTGTGGAGGTCTTTAAAGGCAGTTAATAACTTTATTTGAATGAACTTCATAACTAAAATCAAACATTTATATATATATATATATATATATATATATATATATATATATATATATATATATATAAAATAATATTCTGATTTTTATCGACTAATTTAGTTTAAAAAGATTTAACTGCGAAAACTTCACGGCGCAGATTTGAATCAATTTTCTTTACATGGATACATAATAATAATACAGTCGTTTGTAATCAAAAGCAAAATAAGAAACAAAAATGTTTGTCAAATTATTTTACTGTTATTAATAAAAAGAAACATGTATATTATATATATGATTCTTTTTTCAAAGAAAAGAAAAGATCAAAATCAACAATTCATTCTCTACTTTTCGACAAAATAAAAATGACTAACAGCGGATGGTATTTACCATTTTGGCTTTAAAGTTGAAAAGTTTAAAGTAGTAAATCATGAACAATAATAAATGATTAAAGTAAAACATACAGACAGACAAACAAAGTGATCCTATAAGGGTTTTTTTTCCTTTTAAGGTACGGAACCTTAAATAATTGCCTAAATAATTACCTACATACTATTTTCGCTTAAAACCGGCCCCGGATGTTTACAAACAAGAAGCGCATCTAGCAAGCCTAGAACTTAACCTTTAAAACTCATTTCGATGTTGCCATATAAAACTAGTCCTTACCACTTAAAAAATAAGTCATATATTCGTATAACAACGAAATTCTGATAAGGCGGTCAGGAAAAGCATTTAATGGAGTGCGGTAACACGTTGACTACATTAGCGATCGTCCATTCGACTAAGAGACTTGTGTTTCGAACAAACATACTAATTAACTTAGTACGGACAGTGAAAATCGTGAGAATGAAAATAATATTAATCAGTGCAGTACTTCTGCACGTGTCGTGTTGCTACGGTGAGTTTTAATATATTTTCTTTATAATAAAAGCGCATTCGTTTATTTACACGTAGGTATAAGATATCTAAATAAAAGCAAGACATAAAATTTGTATTGAATTCGTGTGGTCTTGTTATTTACATTTTCATTTACTTTGAAATTCGTCATATCTTAAAATATAAGTGCATTTTTATTACTTAGACGTTATTCGAATTTTGTATGTTTACCTGTCGGCTGTTGTACGTTGGTAATCTTTATTTATAGTAATGCTATGGCTATTTAAGAATTAAATATATGAGAGTTAAACTAATATAAATAAAAATATCTCTTACATATTCTTAACAATCCGATTATCTAATAGGGTTGACACAACAATACAAAGGTGTCAATCGCAAACGAAACGTTACGTTACACGGATGATACCATGCGTCAATGAATCGATTAATAAGTTTTATAATCAGTTAAATTAAAAAAAATCTATTTGTTTTTTTTCTTCAGTAATATAACAATCTTGCTTTTATATAATATTACATAATATATTACATTAATAGTTGTCATTTATTCTAATAAATAGTGCGATAGCTTTTGTTTCTATGTATGATCTCATAAGCCATTAAATATCTATACATAATCTTATTGCAAATATAAATTGATTTTACTTATGTCTTTGCCAGTTATGAGCCGATTTTAATAAAATTTTTTTTAAAACAAAACAATACTTATATATAAGCTAGATTCTCTACATGTAACAAAACAAAGAGCCTCATCCATTTTGGGATCTATCGGAACGCTGGTATAATGTAGTTAGCATAATAATTATTATAGTACTTTAAACAATCATCGGAAAACCCAAATAACAAACTTGCTCTTAAATGTTAACAGCTTTATGTCAAATTGAATCTAATACATATACATATATATAGTTTATTTACTGTGGTTATAGAAAATTTGGTAATTTCCCCCATTTTATTACAAAACATTTTATTGTAAAATTTTACTTAGTTTTACAATTGCAATTTTAAAATTCAAAAGTTCATGTATGTTCTATATATATTACATTTATCTGTAATCCTCTTTACATTAACTATTTTTAGTTTAAATTGTATTCAGCCCTATTTTAAGGTCCCACTGCTGCTGCTGCTTTTAACTACCTTCATTTAGTTTAGATACCAACTTAAAATAAAAGACTGCCTTTTATGCAATATGAATGTCATTTCTTCTTTTTTTATTATGTATTATTTATTATGTAAGAAAACATATTGAAACAGTATCAAAATATGCAACATGACAAATTTAAAAACCATTCTTTTTAGTTGCATTCAAAATAACCAATAGTAAATAATATACAGAAAAGTAGATTTCCTCTAATAAAAAAATACAAACGTAGAACCTACTCCTTTTTGGAAATTGGTTAAAACCAATGTAGGTACCTAACTGGGCCGTATTTCAATATACAATATAAGTAATATTTCTTTTCTATCTGCATATATAATTAAACTATTCCCTACTTATTACTTAAATAATAAGACCAGAATCAAAATTGAATTTTAATTATATTAAACATTAACATAAAATTGTATACTCGTATATAAAATACAAATTAACTTTTTATTGGAAAACAACTCAATACGAAAATAATATTATCTTATATGACGTGAAGCAAATTTCATTAAAAAATCATTAATAAATGACTCAAGACTGTTATATTTTAATATGTTAAGAAAAATGAAGAAAAATCCTGTCAGTATTTTCAAAAGTTTGTTCAAAAGTTGAGTGTTGAAAATTGTACATATTACATTGAGAAAATGAAAGGAAATATATGTAGCGTATAAAATGTTGGTAAAAAGAAAGGTATGAGATTTTCTTTTAATCCAATTGAATTATCTATACATATAAATAAACTTGAAGTGTCTGTTTGTAATGTCACGATAACAGCTTTTTACTAAACGCATATGAAATTATATACGGTACTTAGTTATAAGAAAAACACATTTTTTTTTAATGTTGTCTGTCTATCGGTCAGTTTGGTCTGGCTCCGAAATGGCTGGACAGATTTTGACGAGACTTTCACAGGGAGATAGCTGATGCTATAAAGACTAACTTAGGTTACTTTTATTTTAGAAAAAGAATTAGGGTTCCGCTCAAAAAAATTAAAACGTACCTAGGGACGCACCCGAGCGAAGAGTGTTAGTCGCTAATTTTGTATATATGTATAACTGTACTATGGAATTATAATAAATTCAAAATGCAGTAACAAAACCACAACATAGAAGTGTAGCAATCGATTAGTTTCAGGTAAATATAGCGAAATTATTAATCTGGAATTTCATATTGAAAATTAAAATTACCATATCAACCATATTATTATTTTTTCCACCTCCAGGTAAATTTAAAAAAAATATTCAATTTCTAAGAAATCTATTGTTAACTGTAACGCCGGCGTGTTCGCGGTCGTTGAGGGAGTAATAAAGAAATTTATAATCTCTAACTAAAATCAACTATTTTGAGATTAATACGGGTAACTTATAATAAAGTGGTAATATATAGGGGTAAAAATCTCATAAGCCGTTTAAAAAAAAATGGAGACGTAGGTCATACATATTCCGCAAGCTTTGCTTCTCAACGTTAAAGTTACGATATATTCATATAAATAATGTTATTATTTACGCTAGCATTTTATTTTTATTAAAAAAACAATAAATTGTTTAGTTGGTATACTATATTTTTTTAATTTGCAACTTAGCTTTTGACAATATTAAATAGACTTTGAGTTTAATTAAAAAGCAAATTATAGTTATTATATATTTTAACTATATAAATGATGAAAAATTAATGGATTAAGATAAAAATTTAAATTATGTTTGTCGTAAATATTAAAAAAAATATATGAGAAAGTTTAGAGAAATTTGCATAGAAATTGGGAAGGTACCATATAAGCTCACGCATGCCCACTTATCGTAATGACACGCCCACAAGGATACGGCCCCTATCAAACACTTATGACCATTCGAGGCTAATGTTTAATTAGCTAAATTCTGAATCTCCACTTAAAACAACAAAAGAATTCGAAAGCCAAACCAGTTTAGAGCCCGTTAGGATTTATTATGACAAAAGTTAATATAATATTTATTATATATGTAAATCTTTCTTTATGTTTCGGTAAAAGAATATTATATGTAAATCGTTTTAACAACCTTTACTATTGTTATTTGAGCTTATCACCACAAAATGGGCCCAACCCTACGAAGATTTATATGAAAATATCGATACAGCATAGTTTATGTATATATTATTTAGATTGAGTAGGTATTACATAGATAAACTTTTCGATAGGCAATTTACAAACTGTGTTTATGGTTATTGGTTATGTTATTATAGGTTAGCGGCTTTGTAATGGATGAAATTAGTCGTCTTATTATAATTGAATAATTATGTTATAAAACTAGCATTGCCCGCGGCTCCGCCTGCGTTCAGATGATCAAAAACCAAATTGTTAGGTTTTACATATTAGTAGGTATACTCTTACTTTGCAGTTTTTGTATTTTTCCTCAAAAATGAGAAATTTTCCCGCGGTCAAAATTATACTATATGTTGACCCGGATAACCAGCTATTATTATACCAAATTTCATCAAAATCCCTCCAGTGGTTTTTCCGTCATGCGGTATCAGACAAAAGTACTAAAAACTATAGATTCGGCATCTGTATCGATAATAATACCTATTTCAATAAGATTTTCCAAAAAATATTTAATGTACAGATTCGACTTAGTTACAATTTTATTATATGTATAGATAATATAACTAATAGAATTATATCTCTATTTAGAAAGTTACTTTGCATTTATGTGTGTATTAAACTTTATAACTAAGTAATAAAATGTTTATTTGGTAAAGACCTGTTTTAAGGCAGATATAGTAATTATGGAAAAATGAGCACAGACGTGGAGGTTCTATACCACAATAAAGTATATATTTTGGTTTGTGTTAAGTAGGTAGATAGGCTAATAAAATTGGAAATTATATTTATGGCAGCAAAATGCCCTAAAGTAAATTCAACTCGCACTTTGCCGTTTTTATTACTTGCTTCAGAATCTGTATTATAACCACTAAGTTACTATTTTCATGGCAGCAGCAGTAGCGTAGCAAAAACATGAATCCTTCAGATTTTTTTATTTTTGCTTTTCTTAATATTATTAGAAGGTCCAGACACCCTTGTTATTCGACACTTTGGCTACAGAATCCTAATACTAGACCGGTTTTAATACACATACTAACTTATATTGTATAGTCAGTTATGTCACAAGACGCATTTAACGGTACATTTTTTGTATCGTAATAATTTGTCTGCGCAATTAATTATGCTTAATGAAAATTAAAAAAAGTTTAGATCTAGAAGACATTCATTATACGTTTCAACAACTTAAGTTACTTAACTTTGTAAGGTTTCAGTTTTATATATAAAATTTATTTAAAAATTAGTATATTTTAGTATTTTGTATAAATCATTTACGCAATCGTGGCCGATATTAATGTACTAAAAAGTTGTAAAGAACAGAGATTTTGATTTTTCCCGTGCTTTTGATGAAAACCCTTTTTCATTGCGAGGAGGATCAAGTTATAGTCCACAATAATGGTCAAATGCGTGTTGGAAGATTTCACATAAATAAATAGGTTCTCTCAGACATGTTCAGTGGATATCACTGAAAAAAATAACACCACTCAGGTAGGTTTTTCCAGTGAGTGCGCTGTTACTGGCCTACCACTGCGTACCTATCCTACAATATTTGGCTCAGTTTGTAGTTAGCCTACTTGCTGTGCCAGCGATCGCGGGTTCGAGTCCCGCTGGGAGCATTCATTTGTGTGATGACGAATGTTTGTACTCCAGTCATGGGTGTTAATATTTATAATATGTATGTATTTAAAGTTATATATGTGTAGTGTATCCACTATTTGGTATCCATAGCACAGGCCTCGCACCTTACCATGGAACTGTGCTGTGTTTAAAAAAAATGAAAAAATATATATAGTTGAAATCTTAATTACTCCAAACCGATAAAAGATTTATTTCAATTGCATGTAATCAAATCACTGTTATCAGATCTTGCTTAGTATCCGGTGTAAGGTATAAATATAAAGCGAATCTATACAATTAAATTTACCATTTAATTGCACTGACGCCTAGAATTACTGATTTAGATTTCATGGTCATTAACTATGTTATTTTTTTTATTTTTTTAAGATTTGAAACACTATATTATATCATGCTTCGCGAGCTCCCAATATTTCGGCTCTGTTGTAAACGATAGCTTTACTACATACTAAATATAAGTTGACTTAAGCTAACCTATACATATAATAAAATTGTAACTAAGCCGAATCTGTACATTAAATATTTTTGGAAAATCTTATTGAAATAGACATTATTATCGATATAGAGGCCGAATCTATAGTTTTTAGAATTTTTGTCTGTCTGTCTGTCTGTCTGTCTGTCTGTCTGTTACCGCATCACAGAACAACCACTGGAGTGATTTTGATGAAATTTTGTATGGTGATAGCTGGTCATCCGGGTCAACATATAGGATAATTTTTACCGCGGGAAAATGTCTCATTTTTGAGAAAAAATACAACAACTGCAATGTAAGAGTATACTAGTATGTAAAACCTAAGAATTTGCTTTTTGGGCACCTGAACGCGGGCGGAGCCGCGGGCAATGATAGTATTTCTTATAAATGGAGTCAAAGGTGTGTCAACAGCTTAGACTTATGGCGTCTACTAATAAAACGGAATAAATTGTAATAAAATAATAAATATTTTTAGAAACTTAACTTCTTAAATATTTTTTTTATTTTTAATATGTTTGAAAAAAAAACCATATGTACCTATTAGATATCGTTTAAAGTTAGTAATAATTAACCATATTATTATCAAAATTCATTTGCTATTTCCCTTATAGCTTATAGTGTTCCCTCAGCTCCACTAGTGTATAGTTTAGTAGCATGATATTAAAAAGCCTATATCCTTAATAAATGGGTTATGAAATGTAAAAGGATTGTTTTAATACATTCACTGGTAGTTCCAATAATGTACAGTTTTAAATTAGAAAAATAAACAAATCTCTACAAGTTAATATATTTATGGAATAAATTAAGCATTCATAAAACCTATCTATTTATAAATTAAAAAAAAATATTTTAAGAAAATTTTTGTATTATACTAAACAGAACTATAATAAATGATAGTTTTTATGATTATAATAATAGGAGATAAATTATTCATAATGGGTACATCAACATAATTTTTAACAAATTCTGCTTAGAAAGTTTTTCATATTATTATAATATTATAATAACTTTATTAACATATGATTCTTATCGTAGTATTTTGTTTGTAAATTATACTTAGTTTGACCTTTTAATACAAAACAATATTAAAATAAACAAATAAAATAATCTATAACCCGTTAAGTATTATCTAAAATAGATCATGGAAACGAGATTTCCTATTAAAGTAATATAATATAACCTTGTTCCTTTTGTATAAAAGAAACATGGTTGTAAAATGCATTTGTACAGCTTTGGAAACTTTAATAATTATGTATTATAAAAGACTCGTGTGATGATGTAAGGCTCGGTAACTTAATTTATTCAATACTAGCGCTGTTCCGCGGCTCTACCCGCGTATTTGAATGATGTATATTTACATAGTATAAAATGAGGTCGCTTCCGCTGTCTGTTCGCCTAAATCTGTTAAACTACGCAACGGATTTTAATGCAGCTTCCAGAAATAGGTAGAGTGATTCAAAAGGAAGATTTATATGTATAATACGTGCATATTATAGTACAGAAAAGCCGAGAAATTCAAAAATTCGTATTTAATACTAACCGTTAAAACGTATTAAGAGACGAATCCGAAAGAAGCAAGGGTGAGTCGCTAGTATCATTATAAATTAAGGCCCATGTGTTACTCTAATGTTTTAGCTATAATGCTGTATTGTTTCATCAAAATCCGTTCAGCAGTTTTCGTGTGAAAGAGTAACAAATATCTATTCATCTATCTATTCATCCATACAAGCTTTCCCGTTTATAACATTAGTAGGATTCAATCATTTTTATAGTTAATATCTATTTTTATTTTTAGCTTTTATTTAATAGGACCCCAATTATTTATAACTTATGCGTTTTAATAAATATTTAAAAAAAGTAAAAAAGTATCGTTAAGACCGGTTTATAAATGCCGAAAATATAATATAAAATACACACAAAAACATAATAATAATTCATATATTTATTTTAATGCCAGTCAAAAAACATATAGGTATCTCATTTTATGGGTGTTTTAGCATGCTATTGAATTTTATTTCACGTAGATCTAATTAACAATATCAACCGTTAATCAGATTCTAGATTAGGATATGTCAAAGCATTGAAAATCAATAATCTATACACAGCCTTACGATTACATTTTATTGTTGCGCAGTATTAACACGTAATTTATTAGTCATACTGTAAACGATTAACAAAACGTTTTCAGTACAATAAAGACTGCCTTGCTGAATACAAGAAAATTTATAATTTATTGTGCTATATACATAGTTCTAGAACAATTTTCTTCTTTAACACGTTGTAAGTTATTTTATTATTTTTTACCTTTGTAACTTGTGATTTTGAGGTCTGATTTTGACTCTATTGAAAGAGGCTCAAGTTTTTTACCTCTTTTCAGTAGTTTAATGTCAATAATAATTTTAAATCATCACCTCATGTAAATTGGTACCAAAATAATATATGTATAAAATAAAAAAAAATTATGCAATAATTTTAAAATAATACTCTTAGTCAGTAGAGAATTCTCGATTTAATAAAGACTCAAGTTAAACAATATTTGTCATATGTATATGTATATATTTCAAGTAATCAATGTATCAACAAAGTTTAGACACTCTATCTAATATAGCAATTATCGCGTGTTTATTAATTTTATTTGTCACTGTAATCAAATCTTCAAAGGTTAAATGTATTGATTTGAAACCTTTATGTGCACTTCAATTCATTTTGACCTCTATACTTTACAATTAGTCGAAAGCCCGTTTTTTTAATGTTATCTTAAACTATAATTATTTTTAAGGTGATAAAAAAATGTGTTATTTTCCATAAGCTGTACAACTATGTATCTTATTAAAATATGTGGAATAATTTATAATTGGCCGAAAATGGAAGATTCATAACATATTTATACATACTATGTACATACATGGGTCAAGGATATAACCATCTTACTCTGTTTGTACTTTATTTTTATGTAGAGTTTTCCTCGCTACCTCTTTACCACAGAAATCTTAATAATAACAGAAATATTATTAACATTTCTGTGCTCTTTACAAACGTCATTAGTACAATATCGATGTAATCGACAATAATTGAAGATGGTCGATGAGTCAATTCTGTTAAGGCTCATTCAAAGCTCATCTATTCTAACACATTAAGAAAATCATTTTTATATTAATATTAACAGGATTTTCCACGAATTAATGTATGTATCTTTTCGGTCACGGAATAATGCTCTCGGTCATTAAGCGTTAGACGTATCATTAAGTTTTAGTCAAGAATCGCTACAACAATTAATATTTTATTAAGTTAATTGGAAACAAATTGCTTTACCCACGTTATAACACGAATGTTGGAAATAATATTTTTACTTGGTAGTGTAATTTTAAGCATAGTAAGCAAGTTTAAATACCTTTTTATTTTTTTCTAGCTTACCCCGCGCAAGGTGTATCGTCATACGCCTATCAAGATTCGGCAGGAAACAGGTACGGCGGAACGTACGACCAGAAGGATAAAGTCATACGTAACAGTGACCCCTTCACCGTACCATTCAACAACGTGAACTCGTTCTTCCCCGATTATTTTACAAACTTCAACAATATACTTCCACAGTAAGAAAAAGCAAACGTAGACACTAGCGAACTAGTGGCTTGCGGTGGTGGATGGTGAAAGAATTACTTTAAACTTGTCTTTAATCCTTCTATGTCTTGTTTAACTCCACTACAAGACTTCTAAAAAGATACACATTATTTTAGAATAGTTTGAATACAATGTACACTGCAGGTTCATTGACCATTGTTTTTGCGATACTATCGATTTAAATAATAAATGAACTCAAGAATGAGTTAGATTAAATGATATCTTATTATATGCTTTAATATTATATTGCAATTGGTATTTTTAAAATATTACAATAAAATTTGTTTATATGAAAGCCTTGTATAGGAGTTAAACATGTTTTAATGTTTATAGCAAAATTGTAGGTCGATGGCATTTGATCTGAAATAAACCTCACGTTACGCCTAAATTGTGATAAAATTATTTATGCTTAAAAATTTAATTAATGCGAATATAATTTATAGAGATAACATTGGAAGAGGCCAACAATTTCTTCTTATACCGCGTCTTCGATCTTCACGAAGGTAAATGGGTTCGTGTGAAATCGGGGCTTTATTTAAGTACTATCCTAAAACATCTCACTCAACCTCGCCTTCATCACTAACATTAGCTTGGCTACCGCTTCCATTTGTTTCATTTGTATCTAATTTGGGAACATTGTTTGAATCATCCATTGTGTTACAGGATTTTCGGTTCTGATTTTGAGGGCCAACGATTGGCGTCATATGCTGCTCGTAAAGCTTACGATCTAACTTATAACCATATTGGTTATAATCCGAATTTCTTCAGGTTCTCACCTTTCTCTGCTGGTTTCCCATACTTTGGACAACAAGGATACCCAGGCATGGACCCAAATCTGCAATCAGCCCTCGCAATTGCAATCGCAGGACCAGATTTCACCCATCAAGTGGCTGCTATTGATCCTATTAATATTGTAAGATTATAGTTGCCTAGTTTATTCTAATATTTTACTTTTTGAAGATATATCATTTGCTGGTAAGGCAAAGAGAGCATTTTAACTTGCCACCCAATAATTGACTTCTATCTTTATGGCAAACCAGTGTATACCCGCGACACCATGTCATAGATAGATGCAATCTATGTAAAATATCCTTATCGATTTTCATCGAAATCTATTCAGCAGTTTAAACGAGAAACGATAACAAACAAATAGACAGGGATACTTTCACACTTATAAGTAATATTAAAATTTATAAGCGGATATTCCCAGTTAAATAAGAGAGGCGGATCGATTACATTGTTGACGGTTTTAAATCTAATTAAAATGTAATTGTACATAATGCCATTTTTGATGATATATTACATTTTGTATTACCAAAATAAATTACATGACTTGACTCCATAATATAACGGTTGATAAGTAGTACCTACAACGTGTGCAGCCATCTAAATTAAAAGTAGATAATAAAACGGATATACAAGGCATCTAAAAGCACTTCTATTTTAGTTTGTGATTTTAAAAGGCTTAGCTCTGTTATTGAGGTTGGTCAATTTTAAGCGTGACTAAACCTTAATGAATATTAATGACGCATAGTTTTGTCATTGTAGAGTATTGGATATATATAAGAGTATTCACCTCGTATATGTCTGTTTACATATATGTAACTATTGTTCACCCAGTGATCGAAATTCGGACATAACCTTTTTTTTTTGGTAACAATAAAGCTCGTTACTAGCTATTAAACAAAAAAACTAAATCGGTTCACAAACAGAGGAGAAAAAGGTACTGAACTATTTTGTCTTTGTATATCCTACTAATATGTATGTATGGATGAATGTTTGTTACGCTTTCACGTCAGAACCGGCTGAACGGATTTGTATGAAATTTGGCACAGAGATAGATTATAGTCTAGAATAATACATAGGCTTACTTTTTATCCCGGAAAAATATACGGTTCCCGAGGGATAGATTTGTTTTTGTTTTCTAGAGGCGAACCCGGGCGAAATGAGGGTGAGCCGCTAGTGTATTTATATATAGATTATAAAAATTCCATACCATAATAGTGACATAATAATATACATATAGACATTGGCATTTTTTACTTTAGTTGCATATTGAATGTAGTTATAAATTAGATTCATGAAATATCGTATACATATCTATCTATAGTAATATTATAAAAAGGTAAAGTTTGTGAGTTTGTGAGATTGAAGGGGGTAATCTCTGGATCTACTAAACCAATTTAGATGAAATTTTGTAAGAAGATAGTTTGAAACCCTGAAAAGGACATAGGATACCTTTTATTCCGGAAATCATTCCTTAAGGGGGTGAAAATAGGTTTTGTTTAGGGAAGCAAAACTTTGATGTGATCGAAATACTAAAAAGCTTTTCCTGAAGATGATATCGTTGGTAAAAAAGTAAAAGGCTTCTAAGTCACTTTGCTCACTCTGCTTAATTATTAAATATTCGAAATATGTAATTATTTCTAATATTAACACATGCAAATATTTATTTTAGGATATGCCAAATGTGGATTTAACTAACCGATTCAACGAAGAAGTTGTCAATGGAAATCCAAACGGAGTCTACAGCGTTTCTAGTACATCAATCGCAAAAAACATAGATGGAAAAGGCTACAGAGAGGCCGAAACCGTTATTAATAATAATGGAAAAATTACTAAGTATAAAGTTCACAGTTAAGCTGATTTAACTGCAACATTTAAGCGCCTTTTTATTACTATTTTGATTAAATTGTATTTTGATTCCCAATATGCTTTCTGTACAAAAAGGCTGTGATTAGAATTGAATTACTTATACATAGTATATAATTAATAGATCTGATAAATTACTTTAAATATAGGCGCTACATGGATAGAACATCCATTATTATATTAAAAATAAAATGATATGTGTATCAAGCAAAAATATTTTATATTATATTTTCTTCCTGTATATTTGCGAAGTAAACTAATATGAAAACTTAAAAGTTTTATTATTTTATCTTTTAAAAACACTAATCGTTTTACAATTTTTCTAATAACGATGGAATATCTAATAATAATCTATACTAATATTATAAAGACGTAAAGTTTGTGAGTTTGTGAGTTTATGACGTTGTAGGGGGTAATCTCTGGATCTACTGAACCGACTTAGATGAAATTTGTTAAGAAGATAGTTTGAGACCCTGGGAAGGACATAGAATACTTTTTATACCTGAAATCATCTCTTGAGGGATGAAAGTTTGTATAGGGAATCAAGCTAGGGACGAACCCACAAATAACAAAATGAATTCAAAAAATTGAAAAATGGCACCAAAGTACCTCAGAATATTTTTTAATTTAACAAATATCTATAACAACTATATAATACCTTTGAGACATCTAACACCTCAGTCTCTCCCGTGACCATGATTGCTGTAAAGTATTCGAAACGTCGGGAACCAAAAATCAAAATAAATTCGAGAAAAAATCTGAAAAGCTAGTTTTATTTAAAACCTTTAAAACTTAGTAAATTATTATCTACAACAGAATTTGCTAACTACTAAACAAATCAGGTAGTTAGGTATAATATATATGTATGTGCGTATGTATTATTATAGATGTATATTGTTGCAAAAACTCTAACGATTTTTAAAACGCGACTAAAAGCACACTTCTATACACTTCAATAGCTAAGCTAATATCCATATTAGAATAAAACGTTTGCTTACTGTATTTACATACTTTATATTTTGCCATCTATTGATATTATTTTATATAAACTTATTTATATTATTTACGTATACCTGCTTAATGTATTTTTTGTATATACATACGTATATATAATATCATATGTATGTATATATGTATATATCATTTTCCTTTATTATCATTACTGCCTCAGTGGTGTAGTGGCTAGCATGTACGGCTGCACACCCGGAGGTCTTGGGTTCGAGTCCCGGGTCGGGCCAAGTTTAGTTATTGCTTCTTTCTGTATAGTCTCAGTAACAGCCCGGGGTTGGGAAGTTGGCGGTGTTTCATCCCCGTGCCTCGGAGAGCACGTAAAGCCGTCGGTCCTGCGCCTTAACTCTCACCGGTCGTGTCGAGCAGTCGTCCCACCGGAGTATGAGAGTGACAGGAATAGAGAGTGCACTTGTGTCTGCGCGTACACTTGTACACTATTATATCTCCTACGCAGTTGGCTAATCTCAATGAGATTATCACATCATATATCATTTTATTTATAACTTTTTATTTTTTATACCACGTCGGTGGCAATCAGGCATGCGGCCCGCCTGATGGTAAGCGGTTACCGCAGCCTATGGACGCCTGTAACATATAACTCTGTGTTTACAGTCTTTGTGATACGAGTAGGTATTGTTGACTGGAAGAAATCGCCGTTTTCGCTATAAGGCCGCCTCTTGTACACTTTCCTGTTATTGTCTTCTTTTTGTGTGTTCAATATTTTTTATTATTTTATTATTATTGTAAAATGTGTCACTTAATATTTAAGCCAAGCATGATGCTTGGTTTCGCCATAAGGTTAATATAAATAAAAAATCATGAATGAGCTATAAGTATCATATCATGACTGTTATTATGCTACATTTGCCTTATTTATGACTATGTTTGTTGTGGAAGTAATAAATAAAACCGGCCAAGTGCGGGTCGGACTCGCGCACGGACGGTTCCGTACCATTATCTATAAAAACAGCAAAAAATCACGTTTGTTGTATGGGAGGCCCCCTTAAATATTTGTTTTATTTTATTAGTAATTTTTTAAGTGAATATACAACTAAATATTCTGTTAATATTTCAAGCGTTGCCGTTAACAATATCGAGCAAATACGAGCAAAAAAATCACGTTTGTTGTATGGGAGCCCCCTTAAATATTTTTTATTATAGCGACAACCGAAATACATCATCTGTGAAAATTTCAACTAACTATCATGGTTCATGAGATACAGCCTGATGACAGACAGACGGATAGACAGCGGAGTCTTAGTAATAGGGTCCCGTTTTACCCTTCGGGTACGGAACCCTAAAAATGGAATACCCAGTGCAAAGACGCAGCACCTGAAAGAATGCCCATAAAATCTGCATTGCTATGGAAATTTATTAGTCTGTATGTACAATAACGTGATCATCGTATTATTCATACGGACGGAACCACTAACATCATCGGAAGTTTTTATTGCTTAAACAATAATACAACATGTAGTAGTATATCTATAGTTAGTTTAATTTCGCTATTTTTCCATCTATTTTAATTTTTGGTGTCGTACTCTCATATAACCAAGAACGAGTTTTTGACTCGACACACCCCCTTGGTCCGTTGAGTTCTCTACATTTTCTGCAATAAAATTCTCGTACGCCATCATTAGAAACTCTTCTGTGAAATTTTTGATAATCTGGCCTATTACTGCGGGCATAATTATCTAGACCTTGGTTCCATGAATTAATATTATTAAAAAATGAAGTAGGCTTCCATTGCGATGGATTTGCAACATAATTGGGATAAAAATCAAATTCATCCTGTCTGTTTTGTAAAACAAATTCTGGGTAAACATATGTTGTAGGTTTAAAACGAGAATCTGGAGTTCGAATTTGAGTTGTTTCAAGTGATCTGTAACCTTTTAATACGGGAACTTCACCGCTATCTTCTTTATTTTCTTTTTTACCAACAATTGAATGTGTGAGGTCAGCTGAGTCACCTAAAATATATGCAGATAAAATAATTACTGTCAAAGTAACAAAATAAATCGATCAGTTAACAGAGAGTTCAATGAAAACTTGTGGCAAATTACTGTTTCATACATGTATAGCTTGATTGGATCACAGATTATAAATAATATTATATTAGTAATTGGATTAAGTTTTTATGTGTATGGTCTATGGTGTAAATAAAGAATTTTACATAAAGTTAAAAAGATTTTAAACATTCAATTATTCTTACCATCCGTATGAAGTCCTCTACGATTATTATTTTTGAGCTTTGTAGAAACAACTATAGTGTGTTTCACTTCAACATCTTCGTCTTCTTTACTAGTATTTTTCACAACTGTAGCTTCTTCTTCACCAAAGTCAACTTTGGTAGATATGCTTCGGGTTACACCGGCCACGCCTTTAATTATATTTCAAAAATATATTTGAATGCTATATCACTGACTGACAAAACACACAGCCTAAACTCCTGTATCCAACAAGATGAAATTTTGTACGAGTACAAGAGTTCTTTAAATAAATAAGCTAGTAAGAGCACTAAAGAGACTTTTTGAATATTCTTCCTCTAGAATGGGCAAAATAAGGGATGAAAGCTTCTGTAGAAGTTTATAATTTCAGATATTAATAATATAAAAATTAAGATTGCTGATGAGAAATAAATACCATCCAGCCCATTTCTTATCAATTTATAAGCAATAAATGCCTATATAAAAAAGCCATTTTATTATTTTTATTTATAAAATATATAGGTAATCGCATGAAATATTATTTTTAATCAATTTAACATGCCTTCTATACGAAAATGTATCACGTTCATTCATGGTCCTGAACATGAAATCAATCTATACATATAATAAAATTATAACTGAGCCGAATCTGTACATTAAATATTTCTTGGAAAAACTTATTGAAATAAACATTATTATCGATATATAGATGCCGAATCTATAGTTTTTAGAATTTTTGTCTGTCTGTCAGTCGGTCTGTCTATCTGGCTGTTACCGCATCACAGAAAAACCACTGGAGGGATTTTGATAAAATTTGGTGACAGCAGGTTATCCGGGTCAACATATAAGATACTTTTTACCGCGGGAAAATATCTCATTTCTGAGAAAAAATACAAAAACTGCAATGTAAGAGTATACTAATATGTAAAACCTAAGAATTTGGTTTTCGGTCATCTGAAGGCGGGCGGAGCCGCGGACAATGCTAGTTTATAAATAAATACGTTAGTGACCATGTTAATTAAAACTCAACTTTACTAGGTTCTTTCTTAAATTTAATTCTTTTAATCTTGTAACTACTTATCTAATTAACTATTTTGTAACTTACTTCAGCCCTTAAGGACTACGTATTATATGAGATTATATATATTTGTTTTGCTTTATTATAAAATCTAGCAATAATTATAAGTTGTAATATCTTTTTAACACGTATAAATATAAGTTCTTACCTAGAATAACCAAACAAATGGATAGTGACCTCAACATATTGTTACCAGATTAGACACATCACAAAGGTTGTTTCGCGTGTCTCCTACGTTTTATATAAACTACACAAATTATTCTAAATGATGTCGCAAAGGAAGTACTGCAATTACCTGACATCTAAGAAAATATTATATCATATAACATTACTTGCTAGTTTCACCTGACTTTGCTTACAATTCTTTGGTTTATCGACACGATATACATAATATATGCATTTATGTACGTATACCTTAATAACAAATAGACGACTTACACTAGTGTTTGGATAAGATTTTTGAGTCTGAAAACTGGTGACCCAGCAAAAGAAACTTAAAGAAACTTAAAAAAATATCTATATTCCTGATATAGATATTTTTTTATATTATCCTCATATAATAAAGAAGAATAAATGTGAAGGATGTATGGATGGATGTTTGTTACTCTTTCACGCCAAAGCGGCTGAACGGATCTGAATGAGATTTGGCACAGAGATGGATTATAGTTTGGAATAGCACCTTGGTTACTTTTTATCCCGGAAAAATGAACCGATCCCGTGGGATAGATTTGTTTTTGTCTGGGGACGAATCCGAGGTGAAGTGTGGGTGAGTCGCTAGTCTTCCATAACTCTTCTTCTTGCACTTAATTAGCCTGGTGGAAATCACCTCAATCCCAAGGTTAATAACAAAAATATTATTATATAAAAACAAAAAACCTTTTCAAAAAAAAATGATCGCAGAGCCACTTGTTCAGTAAATAAATAACGCATTGGACAGGACACGACTTCTCTTTATAATGAGACTGCTCGCAAAAAACACTAATGCTTTTTATACCTGTTCAATACCTATTGTTATATACTTAAATAATAATTATATATATATATATATATATATATATATATATATATATATATATATATATATATTTATATATATTACTATAAAGTAAAGTAAATAAATCTATTTATCAAAAAAATGATAAAAATAACATGAGAAGGAACGTGCGTACAAGACAGATTTATAAATCCTACATCGAACTAAATTATACGAATAAAAACAATTATTATATTTTATGTTGCTGTGAAATTGGACCTAAAAAGCAGAACGGTTATCGTGATATCTACGCTAATTGTTCGCTTTACACCGATTTAAATGAATACGAGTATACCTCAAGCTCAAGGGTAATCCAAAGAAAAACTTTTACTTCTGAGGATTACATAACTACTTCTAAAACTCAACTAAGAAATAATGTAGAGAGTATCATAGAACTAAACATGAAACCAAACAATGATGTTTTAAAATAGTACTAAGGTAATGACTATTTGTATACTGAGTGATAAGTAAATAAATGTTAATAAATACAAACAGCTAACCGATTTTATCCATACTAATATTATAAAGAGGTAAAGTTTGTAAGTTTGTGACTTTGTAGGGGGTAGTCTCTGGCTCTACTGAACTGATTTAGAAGAAATTTGGTAAGAAGACAGTTTAAGACCCTGGGAAGGACATAGGATTATATCTTTTTATCCCGGAAATGATCCCTTAAGGGACTAAAAATGGGGATGAAAGTTCGTATTGGGCAGCAAACCAGTTATGAATAAAGAAGAAAAAAAGCTAATATCAGATATGCTATATATCTTTCAACGGGAAGACAACTAATGCTTAAATAATACAAAATAACATAATATGTAAAATAATATTATGTTATTTTGTATTATTTAAGCATATATTCGTATTTTATTCACAAAAAATGTATATTTATTCAACTAATATCTACATATGTATATAAAATTTACCATATTCTTTAAAGAAAGTAAATGATCTGTATGGCAAAATCGAGTAAGTTGAAGTCTTCTCCATTGTACGTATATTGACGAAGTCTGTGCTTGGCCCAGTTGAGAACATTATCCATTATCAAGAAAATTAAATTTAATGTAAGTTGAAAATTCAGTAGGTACCTTTTTACCCAAATGCGGCGAAGCCCAATGGAGGGTTTTGTTTTTGACCTATATGTATACGTACAATATGTACATCTCCCAGCAAAGATCAAACATGTATGTATGTCTCTGACAGCCTAATTCTATGTTCCTTCAACTTGTTTACAACTTTTTGTTTCACTTGCATTTTATTACACTTTTTACTGACTTCATGGCCACTAGATGGATACATTATACATATATTCAATTCATTTATATTGGAGAAACACCAAATGGCGATATAATAAATAATAACGCCCCCTATAACTGTTAACACACACTATTCAGAAAAGAAAATTGATAGTCCTCGTAATACTATGTAATGTTAAGAATTCCCAAGAGATGGCGGTGTGCCATAAATACATTTTTTAAAACGTAATTAATATACCCATTAAAATTGTTATTTAATTTTTTTTATTAAGTATGTTTGTTAACTAAATAAGTACCAAGGTGATTTCTATTTTTTATTAGATTTAACTACAATTATAAAATTTATTTAAAAACAAATAATTTCAATGCGTATTAGGTATACCATAATATTTTATTAGTAAAAGTACTACAGTTTTTGTGATCTTGGTGAAAAGAGTAAATCCTTAGTTTGAAAGGAAAAAATAATAAGAAGCTTCTTATTGACTGATGATCTTTGCTGCTTCTTCACTCTACATATTTCTATAAGATAATTGTATGCTTTAATATAAATTAAAAAAATCTTAAAATGAAAATAAAATGCAAAAATGTAATTCGCCCAACGTGGGGCTCGAACCCACGACCCTGAGATTAAGAGTCTCATGCTCTACCGACTGAGCTAGCCGGGCTGTTACACACATGAGTTAATTTATCAATCCATATCATATTCCGTCAATTAATATAATAAAGTATTTGTATAATATTAATAAAACTCGCGACTTCGCTCACGCTAAAACTACAAAAAACACGCTAGATAGGTATGTTTCATACAAATTTTCATCCTCTATTTTGCCCCCTTATGGGATGAATTTCGAAAAATGCTAAGACACGTATTTATTTAATTTTATTGAAGAGCATTAATACCAAGTTTGAAATAACTATGATCATTTTTTTTGGGTTGTATAATAACGTGTTTTCCCGTGGGAATGAAATAATCTCCCGCGGTAAAAAGTGGCCATGTTACTCTCCAGCCCTCTATCTCCACACAAAAATTCACGCTAGTCCGTCACTCTGTTACGACGTGAAAGGAGGACAAAGAAACAAACAAATAAATAAACAAAAAATCAAACACACTTTCACATTTATTATATGGATGTAGATTTTAACAATATATTGTTATTGCAGCTCTCATAATTATTTCGTAAATACATACATTATGTAAATTGTAACCTAATAAATATTCCCTGTTCGTAAGCATGTAAGGACACAACACAATAAACACTAGAAATAGAAATAACCTTGCTACGCCCAGATTTCGACTCCAAAAATTTCATGGGCCTGAATATACCATTACCTACGCATATATAATAAGATTCCACAAACTGTCCTAGGTTTACCTTTTCAAAAATTTAAACATAACATAAAAAATATTTAATATTATATAAAATATTAAAGCGTATTACTCTGTTCAAGAGTTTCTTGTTGATGGAAATGTGTGAATTAAGATGCCTTGCCTCATATGCAGGCTATCTGTAATATTATATTTAACGTCTTTATATAAAAGAGCAACTGTTAAGTTTCTCGCCGGCTCTTCTCAGCAGACCTGCTTTCCGAGCCGGTGGTAGCTTCCTCACGGACTGACGACACTGATGCTCTTTAAATTAAATTAACGATTCAAAAGTGCTTATAACAAGTCTATTTGAATAAACTTTCATTTCATATAAAAATTATTCGTTAATTTATCTATGAAAAAGAAAACACGAATTTAAATTGAAAAAGAAAAGAATTTATAGACGAGATTCATAAAAGTAAAAATTTAAAGACAACACAATATGATTCATGACATGCACGATGTACATTATAAGTCATGTTATAAAAAGTAAGTAGATACTTATAAGCATTATTTGAAAAGCGATAGTATCAAAGCCGCCGGCAACTTAGCTTTGTAGCCTAAGTCTAGTCTCAGGCTTGTTGACAAGTGCATATTGCACTGCATTCGTATCAAAGACAGAAATAAAGTAACATCGGGCCTCAAAGCTTCGGGAAATAGTAAACATCCTGTGTGGAAGGGAAAGTATATATCTATGTAGACTTTTAACTCATATTAAGTGACGAGGGATAAATAGAAAATATTAATATCAAGATATTATAAATGCTCTTTTAAAATACATATGTTCACCAATTTCAAGAAATTGTAAAGTCGGCTGTTAGCTTATGCAACTACGGCTAACACCAAAAGAAAATGTGTTTTCATTTATTTAGTTGCAGTGCCGGACCGTGGTTATAACTTATAACTATAAAAGTGTCTGCCGACTACACTGTCCCATACCGTGACCGTGCTAGGACCGTGTCAGGCAAAATATATTCTTTGTATTGAAAAGTATGATACTCTGCCCACTAGACCGTTCCATCACCGGACCGGCACAGTCGCGTGCAGTGCACGGAGCGGTAACAATAGTAGTCCGTGCCATGCTTGTTTCCGTGCCTGATACGTTCATAGCACGGTCATGGTAAGTACGAGACGATGTAGTGGGCAGACTACTTTAAGTCATAACCGAAAAAGAAATCGAAACTTCCTATTAAGATAATTCTTTTGCGTATAGTTCTTATTCATTTAAGATAGTTTTAATTACGTTTTTACGTTCATATTTTTGAAGTTATACTTCTTCTGGGACGCTTGGAAAAAATTATGAGAGTAATATTCTTACGATGCGGGCCTACACCGACAGCCAAATAGCGACATGAAGTTATAACTGTTTGCTGCCATGGTAACCGCTGTTATTGTGTGACAAATGATATATGATATTATACTCTTTCTTTAAATAATGTTCTATAAATATATGATTACAATATACCTAATATGCGTTATTTAATTATTTTATTAATTTATTATTCCTTTTGCAAACAGAGAGTTGTGACATAC